ACTAGGAATCCCAAACATTTATTCTTTAAGGTGAATTTCTTCAGAAGTCTTATTCTAAGGCTAGCATATCCAATCAGAGAAAGAAAATTAAGATGATCTAGGTTAATTTAGGTGCTATCCTAGGCTAAATAATAGCCACCTAAAGATAACTTATCCTAATCCCAGGAACTTGTAAAGTTACCTTATAAGGAAAATGGAACTTCGCAGAAGTGATTACATTTAAGTACCCTGCATAGGGAGATTATCCTGGATTATCTGGGTGAACCCTGAATACAATCACAAGTGTGCTGGCAAGAGAGAGGCAGAGGGTGATTTGATGCCCACACAGATTGAAGAGAAGGAGGCAATGTGACCACCAAGGCAGAGAGTAGAGTGATACAGCCACAAATCAAAGAATATCAGCATCCACTAGAATCTGGAAGAGACAAGGAACACATTCTCTTTAACACGTCAGAAAAGATGCTGCATTGGTCATGGTGGCTCATGCATGTAATCTCAGGACTTTGGGAGACTGAGTCTGGTGGATCACTGGAGACCAGGAGTTCGAGACCAGCCTGGACAACATGGCAAAATCTTGTTGTTACAAAAACAAAAAAACAAAACCAAACAAACAAAAAACAAACAAACCAAAAATGAACCAGGCATGGTGGTATGCACCTGTAGTCCCAGCTACACTGGAGGCTAAGGAGAGAGGATCACCTGAGCCTGGGTGGTCAAGGCTGCAGTGAGCTGTGATTGTACCACTGTATTCCAGCTTGGGTGACACAGAGAGATCCTGTCTCAAAAGAAGAAAAGAACAGATTGTGATCCGGTGAGCACCCTGATTTTGAACCAATAATACTGATTTCAGACTTCTGAAATTCAGAACTGTGAGACGATAAATTTCTGTTGTTTCAGCCCAGGACGTCTGTAGTGATTTGTTAGCACAGCCATAGGAAACTAATAGAAAGGCCCACTTGTCTTAAATTCCTATCATTTAACCTGTGGGATTGGTAACATCCATTTTAAGGGGTTATTGCCCCATTTCTTTACTTTTTCTGGTAATTGTCAAGCTGAGCAGAAACTATTTTTACATTATCAGAGAGTTACACTTGAGAAATTGGGATTTGAGAAAGGCACAAAAAGAAAGATGATATACTTAACCACTATTCTTTCATCTAATAAACATTGTGTAAATTCCTACTATGTGTCAAGCTTTGTGCTAAGTCCTAGAATAAAAATGGAATAAGACCAGATTTTGTCCTTAAAAAGTTCAATTGAGTAGGAGAATTAGACACTCATATACATATAATTAAGTTAATTAGTGGAAAATGCAGTAATGATTATGTGCAAAGAGTATTGTATTTTTTCTCTTTTTTAACAGCTGGGCATTTCATATTTTGAAAAACACTGTCTACAAAAAAGTTTCTGTGTTTAAGTAATATATAATAGATCAAGAACAGTTCTAACTGCCAATAGGTTTTACAATTAACATAGGAAGATCAGTGTTATACCACTAGCTTACCATTATTTCAGCCAAAAATCAAAGATATCTGTCATTTGAGTTTTTATCGTGAAGTCTGTTCCTGGCAAAAGTGTGATTTTCTTTATAATATTTTAAATACTGATGTAGCTGCAGAACACTGTCCTCATTACTTTCAAGAGTGGCCTTTCCTAGTTTTGAAAATATAGCCACTATGTCATTAAACAATCTGGTTGGCCAGGCATGGTGGCTCACGCCTGTAATCCCAGCACTTAGGGAGGCTGAGGCCGGTGGATCACCTGAGGTCAGGAGTTCAAGAGTAGTCTGGCCAATGTGGTGAAACCCCATCTCTACTAAAATACACAAATTAGCTGGGCGGGTTGGCACATGCCTATAATCCCAGCTACTCTACTTGGGAGGTTGAGGTGGGAGAATTGCTTGAACCCAGGAGGCAGAAGTTGCAGTGAGCCGAGATTGCGACATTGCACTCCAGCCTGGGCAACAAGAGTGAAACTCCATCTAAAATAATAATAATAATAATAATAATAATAATAATAAAACAATCTGGCTTAGAGAAAATTGTATTGCAAAGAATCTCATTAATGAGAGTTCCTGCATAACAGGACACTAGCTCTGTCCCTTGGGGATGGCTTGGAGTACTGTTTCCTGGTAAAGCAACATAAACAAATCTCAGGCCCCTTTTACAGAGTTATGAAATAATAGCCATAGTTAATAACCAACATTTATATAGGCATTCTATCATTTTACTAAAGAATTTTACAAAAGTACCTGATTATGGGTTGTTTTAACTGTAAGCAAACCCAGTTTCATTACCTCAAGCAAGTTTCTTCATCTCTTTTAGCTTCTATTTCTCATTTTTTTTTTTTCTTTTTAGACAGAGTCTCACTCTGTCGTCCAGACTGGAGTGCAGTGGTGCGATCTCAGCTCACTGCAACCTCCGCCTCCCAGGTTCAAGTGATTCTTCTGCCTCACTCTCCTGAGTAGGTGGGACTACAGGCACCCACCACCACGCCCGACTACTTTGTGTATTTTTAGTAGAGACAGGGTTTCCCATATTGGCCAGGATGACCTCCATCTCCTGACCTCGTGATCCACCTGCCTCGGCCTCCCAAAGAGCTGGGATTACAAGCGTGAGCCACCGCACCTGGCAGTCCGTTTCTCATCTTTAAAGTGAGAGTGCTAACACGCACATGGAGGGCTACTATGAGAATAGAGTGAGATTTTGTATATGAAGTAGCAAAGGCAGAGCCTGGGACTTAGTAGGTACATTATTAAGAATTGGAGCCATTTTTAAAATCTTTTGTCTTTTTGTTATTTTTGCTGTTGTTCTGAAAGTCGCTTAGCTTTTAAAAATGGTCTCTTATTTTACTATTGTTGAATTGCTTCACGCTTCTCAACTCATGACAAGGACCTATTCTGCCAATGAACCTCCTGCCCCCATGTATTGAAATTAAATCTCAGGAGCACCAGTGCATCCCAGAATTTGACTTCCCTCCAGTGGTGAGACTCCTTGGGTTCTTTGTGTGCTCTTTCCCTGATCCTTTAGGTATCACATGGTTAAAAAGAACATAGTATTATTTATAAATCATATGCTCTCTAACTTTAAAAAGATTCAGGACAGCTTTCTGGATTTGGTCATGCATGAAACAAGAAAAACAAACAGCCTATTAGAAAGTTGTGTGAAGTCTAACAGGGACTTGATATGAATTCATTTTGATTTTTCAAACTATGGACTGCAATCAATCGGTTCATTAAATTAATTGGAATAAGTATATTGCATATAGTGAGAGTAGTATTATTTTTTGAAATTTTAGTTTTAATTACATCCTATGTCCTATCTTGTAAGATTTTTTTTTTTTAAGAGTTTAAAAGCCATTTGATTAGGCAACTAGTAGTAAACTTTTTCTGTCTCTCATTAGTTGTTAAATTTGGAAAAGTTTTTGGTTTAACAAACCTTTACTGGATATCTATTTTGCATTGGATACTTTTCTACATGAATGACATTTTTTTTTTTCTCTCTCTTTTCTAATACTGATTTGTTGCAGTGTCGGATAGGTACCTGGGTCACCTCCACACCCTTCTCACTCTTCACTGGGCCTCTGGTACAAGATTGAGAGGATTCCTATTACTTACTGAACAGACTGAGTAGTAAAACAAAAAGATTCCCGAATACAGTGAATCTAAGTTCCCCTAGAGCCCCTAAGAATTACATCAGCTTTAACCATTAATTCCCTGGGTTGTTCTTATTCAGTAATGTCTTAAAACCTTTTTATCAGTATGGGATGGGCGGGCAAGGGGATAAAGAAACTGGTGGCTAGTGGGAAGCCTTAGGTAAGTGCTATCGGAGGGGCTTTAGTTTGGGAGTGGGATAATTTGCCGCGGAAGGGTGGGAGAAATGTGAGCTAGTGCATAAAAGACTGTTTCCGGATCAAATTTCGTTAGCAAGGCTCTTTGAGATGAACTCTTTTGGGGCAAAACAACCAGTCCAAAAGAGCTGGGTGTGTATGTGTGTGTGTGCGTGTGTATACGACGGGGCGGCGAGGGTCCCCACTTTTAGTATGAGTAGCATTGTTCACATGTTTGCCAGTATTTTGGAGCCTGGCAGGCCGGGCTAGAGGCTGCGGGAGACGCCTCCAAGTTCCCACCCGGGACATCCTGAACAGCAGCAGCCACAACAACAGGCTCGCCCGTAGACAAAGGGGCCGGCGCGGCGGAGCAGACTGGTGCAGCCTGGCCCTCGCGCTCGGAGCGCTGGGTGTCGGGGCAGCGGAGTGGGCAGAGCTGACCCGGTGCGGGTCGGAGTCAGGGCACCCGGAAAACCCGGCTCTGGGTAGCAGACCCCGCCCGGGCTGGCTCGGCGCCGGGTCTTCGGGCTTCCCCTCAGTCTTTGACCCTCGGTCCTCGCTCAGCGGCCCCGCAGGCCGTGCAACTGTAACCGCTGCCCCGGCCGCCGCCCGCTCCTTCTCGGGGCCGGCGGGCACAGAGCGCAGCGCGGCGGGGCCGGCGGCATGGCTGTGTCCTGGAGGAGCTGGCTAGCCAACGAAGGGGTTAAACACCTCTGCCTGGTAGGATGGCGGGCTAGGCTCTCCGTGCGTTTTCTCTGTCCTGCAGCGATTTTGATTCATTCTCTGAGCGTGCACGGGTGGGAAGCTGGAAGTGGAAGTTTTGCCTTAATTCGAACATTCTCCACTAACAAAACTTTATGCTGGAGATAACAATGAACACTCCCCCACCTCGCGCCTGTCCCCAAAATGCATGAGAATTTTTCTGCACATTGATGAGAGAGATGTGGAGGAAGAGAGAAGAGGTCATTTTCAGTGAACACAGCTTTTCCTTTACCCTTTAAACATTTTTGCTCCCTTTGTTCTTTTCCCAGATTACTTCTGTTCGCTTGGGGTGTGGTGATGTCATTAATTTCTTAATCTCATTTTGTATGGCAGGGGATAGCTGTAAATCATTTAGGAGACCTATTTGCAACCCAAATACTTAGTCTCAGGTGAAAGGGCCGGGTAAAATCAGATTTGTTTTCCTCTGAGTGGTTTTCAGCTTGCTGGTTAGTTGAAAATGCTTACTGCAGTTACTGGTTTAGGTTCCATTGAAAGCACCATGGCCAAGAATTTACCTGTGATTTCTATTCATCAGGTAATAATTATTTTCAATTTTTGTTTTCTGTCTCTCATGTCTGATTGGTTTAGCTTATCTGGCTGTCCATGAATGTCCTACTTTTCTGGAAAACCTTCTTGCTGTATAACCAAGGGCCAGAGTATCACTACCTCCACCAGATGCTGGGGGTAAGTAAGTTGAACTTGGATGATCTGGTGGAATGGGTTTAACATTGGCAGACTTTGCTACAGGTTTGGTCAGTTCCATTCGTTAAAGAAATGTGCACTCTTCACTTTAGAAACATTTGTTGTTCTCTAAAGTGGTCACATTTTCTTGATTTATCATTTACGCTTGTACAAGTTAGAAAGACTGACTCTCTCAAGAACCAAAGGTTCACTTCTGCTGAAGTGAAACGAATGAACCTGCCAGACCAGGTTATTGGTGCCTTAAAAAAAATTGCTACTTATTGCCAGCTGCTAAGTATCCTGAAGGATCTGATTCACTAGAAGGACCAACCAATGACAAGCTTTTAATTCACTCTTATCAGTGCTTTTAGCCTGCTCATGAGCTTATCCAGAGGATTTCTGCACTGTCTGCTTTTACTGACAACTCTCACAAAGTGTGGGTCTAATGGGGTTATTCATTTCTGGGCAGTTCTCAGTACTTGTTTTGGGTTAGTGGCTGATGATATTCCAGAATTGTAGTATAATATGAGAAAGATACTGGGCAAAACATTTTTTTCTGATTTATTTTATGTTAATATTTTTCTTTCTCTCTTTTCTATGATGTTTCTGATATTATTCTTCCATTCCATCTCCTTCTTATTAGACTGCTTAACAGAAGATAGTGTCACTGAAGGCATATTGCTTTGTACAAGGAGATTACATTTTGTTTTTTTTTGTTGTTGTTTTGAGACAGAGTCTTGCTGCGGTGCCCAGGCTGGAGTGCAATGTAGTGATCTCGGCTCACTGCAACCTCCATTTGTCTAGTTCAAGCAATTCTCCTGCCTCAGCCTTCTGAGTAGCTGGGACTACAGGCACCTACCAGCATGCCTGGCTAATTTTTGTATTTTTAGTAGAGATGAGGTTTCACCATGTTGGTCAGGCTGCTCTAGAACTCCTGACCTCAAGTGATCCGCCTGCCTCAGCCTCCCAAAGTGCTGGAATTACAGGCGTGAGTCACCAAGCTCGGTTGAGATTGCATTTTCTAAGCAACAAGCAAAAACTGTAAAACACTGCAAAAACTTAAGGAACCTGAAAAAATAGATTTTGCATTTTGGGGTCGGGGGAGAATAAAAAACACATTCTGCTTTTTTTTTTTTTTCATGGTTTCATGACTACTTAAAATTAAGATGAGTTCAGACAAATTCAGTGGAACCAGTTCTCTGTTCTGTGCTTTACATGGACGGCTCTTATTTATCTGTAATTCTCAGTACCCAGACTAGTGATTGGCACATATTAAGCCTGCAACAAGTTGCAGTTGAATTAATTAATTAATATTTATACAACAAAGTAATATCATAATCTGTTGATCACATACTTTATAAAGTTTAACTTCTAGGTTTTAAGCCAATGGGTTGGAAAAAAATAGTCTGTAAAGCTAAACCTATTTTATTGGTAACTCTTCAATCTGAATGTTTATTTCTTTCATCCACCCAATCCAGGAACTGTCTTGAAACCTATACTTTTCAGATTGGCACCCAGAGAGTAAAACCCAACTGTGCTCCTCAAGTTGCTTTACAATATAATGGAAAAACCAACAAGTAAAAAATTGTAATTCAATAAACAAGTGAAGGTTTCTTCTAATAAACACATGACTTTTGATAACTTTTTAGTTTTGTTTTCTAGTATTTCCCCCTTAGGTGTAAGTTAATGAATAGGACGTTTTTCGGTGGAAGTTTTATCACATCTATTACATAACTTGATGAACAACTTGGAGAAAAGTCTTTAGATATACAATAGTAAAATTTGCTCTGGGTCATGAGGTATTTGTATTAATATAAAATCTAAGAATTGGAAATTTATTGCAATAACCTAGAAAGCCATAACTGAACTTTGGATTTTAGCTCTGTGACATAGTATAAACTAAAATAACATCTTATTTTTTTTTTTAAAATAATTGTTTTGGAAACCAACACTTTAATTTTTATGAACTTACTGTATAACAGAATTTCAAATTTATTTTGGTGATAAGTCAGATATGATTAAGATCACATATGCACAGAAACATAAACCAACAAATTTGGAGAACATTTAAAACTGTGTTTCACCTCTCTATCCCACTTCACTGCTTCTGCTTGAATAACAGACAGGCTAATGAGCTTCAAGGACTGCTGGCACATAGGGCTTGATAAATATTGATCAAGGGAATGAAAAAAAAATGATAAAAGGACCAAATAGAAGACTAGGAGCAAAAAGGATAAGAAACAGATTCAATAAAGGAGAGGTTGTTATAAGTTAGTTTTCATGAACACACAAGAATAATTATAGTGAACTGACATTTGAGCTATCTAGTAAGTATTCTTCATTTTACCAAGAATCACTGTGGAAAGGAATGGTCTTTCTACATGCTGAGAGATGAAATATGACCTATAAACTTTTCAGTAATTACCTGTTATGAACTTTCTAGTCATTAATTTATCTAAGCTATTTTGGAATAGGTATTTTCAGTCTGTATATTACTTTTAATTGGAAAAGAAACTCCTACAGTTTTATAATTTATGAAATGGTGTTTAATTTTGTGTCCTAGGCTTATCTTTTCTAATCTTATAATGACTCTTGTATTATTTCATAGAGTAACAATTTGCAGGCACTTTTCAAGTTGCAAAGAAATGTAGTATAACAAAGAGATAGAATTAGTTTTTAAAGAAATATTGCTGACTCTCATGTCTTACATTTTTAATAACTATATATTATGAACCTAGCATCTTAGGGGGGTGCATCTTAGAACTTTTCAAACACTTGGTCCCGCTGCTATAGACGTGTGGGATTCCTGAAGAGAGTCTAGGTATAAGTCTCTTTTAGGTGGATTTTAGGTTTGTAAAAATCATGATGTTATCTCTGGAAATGTATTTCATTGTACCATTTAAAACGCAAATAGAAATAATACTTTCATTGCTGAACATTTTGGTAATAGCATTGACTATAAAGCTGCTATCATTCATCTGTGCAAGGTAAGGTAATAACAAAGTCGTACTAGTATTATAGGCAGGAAGGACCCACAGAATGTGGTCCATTTATTGGAAGACACAGACAATGAGAAGCAGTTAATTCTTGGTAACTGCTTGAAAATCTCTATTTTCTTTTAAGAATGACTTTTTATTCAAATGTTTATTTATACCTGTGATATGCCAGGAATTTTACAAATGTTTTGTTTAAGCTAGGAAACTGTTCTCTCTGTTTTACTTATGAGGAAACATGGGCTGAGGAAGCTGTATGACTCACTCAAATCCCTTTGAATGGTCAGTGTAGGAGCTAGGATTTGAATACATCCCTGTCTGGCATCTGCTTTTTCGTCATACTACATAGCTTTTCTGAACAACTTCACTGGCCCATCTCAGATACTTATACCACTGGTTAGTATTAATTTTTACCAGTGCTGGCCAACAGAAATATTCAGCAAGTCATATATATGTAATTTAAAGTTTTCCAGTAGCACATTAAAAAAGAAAAAAGACAGCAGTGACATTGATTTTAATAATATGTAGCCAACTAACCAGGCAGTAAAAGAGACATCGGGACATGGGTAGTCCTCTTGCTCCTCCTCTACTAAGCAAGAATTGTCAACAGATGTGAAGTTGTGGAACTACAAAAATCATTGGTTTGGGAGGCCATGGTGGGAGCATTGCTTGAAGCCAGGGGTTTGAGACTAGTCAGAGCAACAAAGTGAGACCCCATCTTTACAAAAAAATACACACACACACACACACACACACACACACACACATTAGCTGGGCGTCGTGGCACATGCATGTAATTGCAGCTACTTGGAAGGCTGAGGCAGGAGGATTGCTTGAGCCCAGGAGTTTTGAGGCTGCAGTGAGCTATGATTGGGTCATTGTACTCCAGCGGGGGTGACACAGCTAGACCCTTCCTCTAAAATAAATAAATAAGTAAATATTATTGGTATAGAAGTATAAAAATCTCCCTGGCTTCTGTCTCATCTTCTGACTTTTCTGGAGGTGAAAACCTTTGAGAATGAAGATGAAAGTATTTACTTCTCAGAACTAGAATATCCACTTTTATTTCAGGGTTACTATTCTCAGAATAAAATTAAAGACTAAAAAAATACATATGAATTGACAGAAAAAATAAGATCTTAATTGCTGGAAGATAAAATAACACTGGGATTAAAATGTTTTATTGTGGCTTTTCATCATGATTATCTTTTCCCAGACTGGTCTGATCCAGACTGGAGGCAACATGGTCACGGCTGGTTTATGCCTGAATTAATGAGCTAGTCAGACTGTGCACTTCCTAGGAGATGTTTAATTGTGACATGTCATGAGTTTCGGAATCTTAAAATTAGCTAAGAGGAAAAAAAAATCTATTGGGAGAAGCCAAAATGAGCACCCAAACAAGCAAACAAACAAACCAAATAATAGCCTGCTCCACTGCCCCATAGCAACCTTTTAAATAAGGGTAAATAAGAGATGTCATTGATTGCTTAAGATTAAATCTATTTTTATTTATTTATTTTCAAGGAATGGAAAATGTAGTTGCTTGCACTTCATAGAAAGTAGTAACAGGTTGTGTTCAACTCTCAGAAATGTAGTTTTCTTTTTTTTTTTTGGAAATGCTGTGGCAGTTTAACTCAAAACATCATTTATAGGAGCTCCTGAATTCATGTTTACCTGTTTTGAGTTGCATTTTTTACATTTTAATAATTAAAGCATATCATGTAATTCCCATAAACATTTTAACTTGAAAGAAGAATGATTTTATGATATCAGATTCAATGTGTCCTAGTTTTTTTTATATATATATATATTCAACATGTCTTAGTTATGTATACATATATTTTTTCCCTCCAAACTAGTC